TCCCACTGAGCAGGGAGCCCGATGTGGGGCTCGATCCCAGGACCCTGGGATCATGACCTGAGCCGAAGGCAGACGCTTAACGACTGAGCCACCCAAGTGTCCCTGGGTTTTCTCATTTGTAGAGTGAAGCCAAAGGATACCCTCTTCGGGGTTGTCGCAAGGATTAAGTAAGATGGAGTATTTGAAAGATTTTGTCATCTCTAATATTCTTCCCCCAGGTAAACTCCCCTGCATCCTTTGTGAGCCCTTTCCCAACCCATCCCGGGCCGAATGAACCAACCTTATGCAGAGCCCCCACAATGCATTGCCCAGGCCTCTCTTAGAGCACAGACCACATTGTATTACAGCTGGGTGGCCAGGGTCGTCATGTACAGGCATGCAGCTTGTGCACTGTGCAAGGGTGCCTGTCAGTAAGATGAATGGGGACTGAAATCTGGCCTGGGCTTTGTTCACCAAGGCCTAGAATGGGTGCATCCACCTGCAAGAAAAGACTCCCTTATCTAGTGGCACAAGAGTACCCTACAGGCTGGCATGGGCTTTGGAGTCAGATGTATCTAGATTTGAATCCTGACTCTTTGGGTCCCTTTTTTTTTTTTTAAATTAAAGATCTTATTTATTCATTCGAAACGCAGAAATACAGAAAGAGAGAGGACAAGCAGGGGTAGAGGCAGAGGGAGAGGGAGAAGCAGCCTCCCCTCTGAGCCAGCAGCTGGACGTGGGGCTCGATCCCAGGACCCTGGGATCATGACCTGAGCTGAAGGCAGACGCTCCACCAACTGAGCCACACAGGTGCCCCTCTTTGGGTCCTTGAGAAAATTACTCACCTTCTCCAAGCTTTAGTCCCCATCTTTATTTTTTATTTATTTGTTTTTAAAAGTTTATTTATTTACTTAAGTAATCTGTATGCCCAATGTGGGACTCGAACTCATGACCCCAAGATCAAGAGTCGCGTGCTCTACCGACTGAGCCGGCCAGGCGCCCCTAGTCCCCATCTTATATAATGTGAGGATAGTGCTGTGCACCCAATAACTAGCATTCGCCTCTCCTTGTAAATCCCATGAGGCCTGAGACCCGGCTTGGTTCTAGGCACATCAGGGTGCAGGCGAATGGTGTGTGTGCACATTGCTTCCCCTGTCCTCATGGCAAGCCCACCCCCGGCATCAGTCTTCAGGGTGTGGCCAGGGTGTGTTGTGAGTATGCTGTGCATATTCGGGGACTGGGAGAGAGGATGGTAAGAGTGGCTGCAAAAGAGTTTGACAGGGGCGGGGCGCCTGGGTGGCTCAGTCATTAAGCGTCTGCCTTCGGCTCAGGTCATGATCCCAGGGTCCTGGGATCGAGCCCCGCATCGGGCTCTCTGCTCTGCGGGAAGCCTGCTTCTCCCTCTCCCACTCCCCCTGCTTGTGTTCCGTCTCTCGCTGTGTCTCTCTCTGTCAAATAAATAGAATCTTAAAAAAAAAAAAAAAAAGACTTTGACAGGGGCACCTGGGCGGCTCAGTTAGTTAAGTGTTTGAGTCTTGATTTCAGCTCGGGCCATGATCTCAGGGTTTTGAGATCAAGCCTCATGTCGGGCTCTGCTCTAAGCATGGAACCTGCTTAGGATTCTCTCTCTCTCTCTCTCTCCCTTTGTCCCTCCTGCCTGTGTGCTCTCTTTCTCTAAAAGTAAATTTTAAAAAATAGTTTGTAAAAAAGAAAAAAGATAACAGTTTGATAACATGATCCTTTCTTGAGCTTGCAGTGAATGAACATGGAGCCCTAAGCTCTGCCCACGTTTCCAGAACTCCTCCTGTGCCACCAAGAACCAGATCCAAGCTTTGTAGGCATGGAGAGGATGAGAATAGGGATCAATGGAAGGGGTTCATCTGGGAAGGCCTACTGGAGGGGGTGAGCGTTAAGCCAGATTTTGAAGGCAAAAGACCATAGAACCCAGGAACAGAGAAGGGGGACTGCAGACAAAGGCTCATTCTACCTGGCCTGCTCTGAACTCAGATCCTCTCCTGTTACTCCCTCCTGACACGGCTTCAAACCCCTGTGCCTTGGCCTAGTTCACCTGGCCAGCCCTGTCTGGACTTCTGCCTAGGTTTAGCCAAATGTCCCCTGCTAAGGCCACAGTCCCAGGAATATGTGGATAGTCCCCGCCTCAGCTCCCCAGGCAGCTCTGTGGGCTCTGGGGTTGGGAGAGCTCTATCTCATCATAAGAAGGGTCTAGAGTGTGGTCGTGGAGGGCAGGTGGGAGGCGACAGAGGTCCCAGGAGGCTGGAAGTTAGCAGGACCGGCCACCTGGTTTCTGGGAATCAGGCCGACCACAGCGTGGCAGCCAGGACTCCAGTGAGGATTCATCACGGCAGCATTAGGCTGCCGAGGGTAGGACCAGTCCACAGATAAGGCTTGAGAACCAGTTCCTGGGCTCACTAGGCATTGCAGTTCCCTTAAAGGCCCTCAGGAATGATGGCCTCCCACAAGCACAGTTTTGGGTTCTAGTCCTAGAGACCTCTCTACAAACTCGCCCATCTAACCAAGGTCTGCCCACCTCTTCCCAAGTGAGGATGTCTCAGGACACGAACTCCTCATCATCCTTCAGTTCTCACTCATGATTCTTTCTTGAGCTTGCAGTGAATGAACATGGAGCCCTAAGCTCTGCCCACGTTTCCAGAACTCCTCCTGAGCCACCAAGAACCAGATCCAAGGGGCGCCTGAGTGGCTCAGCTGTTAAGCGTCTGCCTTCGGCTCAGGTCATGATCCCAAGATCCTGGGATCGAGCCCCACATCGGGCTCCCTGCTCCATGGGAAGCCTGCTTCTCCCTCTCCC